ATGTGACCTCCTCCCTGGGGGACGGACAACAGAAAAGTGGGTGAAGGGCGACGTCAGACAGGGCAGAATATGACAAAATAAACAATTTATAAATTATCAAGGGTTCATGAGGGAGGGGAAAGCTGGGAGGGAGAAGGAAAAAAATGAGGACCTGATGGGGGGGGCTTAAGTGGAGAGCAAATTGTTTTGAGAATGAGGAGGGTAATGAATGTGCAAATGCGCTTTACACAATTGATGTATGTATGGATTGTGATAAGAGTTGTATGAGCCCCTAATAAAACGATTAAAAAAAAAAAAAAGACAGCCTTGGAGGCATGGATGGCAAAACTCGGTCTCATTACTTTGGACATGTCAGGAGAGACCAGTCCCTGAAGAGGAACTGCATGTTTGGGAAAGTGTTTGTGAGGTTTCTCAAGTGGGTAATAACCTCGGTTCTTGTATTCCCGGGCGAAAGAATTCACGCTGAAGCCTATTTTGTAATGCAAGTAGTTTTTGTGGAGGAGGGGAGAAGTCTCAGGTTTTACAGTCCCAAAAGAGTACACGCTACTTAAGGGAAGCGCGCCAAACTGCACAGTAGCTTAGAGGAAGTTCACAACTGGACACAAGCCACCTCGTGGAACAGCGCACCACGCGGTGGCCAGAGAGCGTGGTGCGGCATGAGCGGCGCGGGAGCAGGATAAAAGAGACCTGCCTTCCTGCAGCCAGGGTATTTCAAACCTCCAGGTGGGGAGGCTTGGTTAAAGGTATTGGTTGGCCCCATTGACTGAATCAAGCCCACCTGGGCCCAGTGTGGGCCATCCAGGTATACCACCCACCTGACTTAGGCCTGAAATTAAGCATGCCCAGTTCAGGGGTCTTCAGAGGTGGCTAATGCTTGCCTGATTCCCTTCCGACCTCCTCTAGAGGGCCTGTACAGGCATGGGAGGGACAACCCTCTGTCTCTAGCTCCCTAACATCGGGACAGCGATGGCTACAATGATGGACTTGGGCATAGAAACAACTTGAGGATGGGCACAGGACCTGGCAGTATTTCTTTCTGTTGTGCATAGGATCCTAAGGGTCAGAACAGACTTGTTGGCACCTAACACCACACAAGTGTCCAATGTCAAGCAGCCATTCAGACCATCTGAACCTGACCACCATCTACTATGCCAGTGGTTCTCAACCTGTGGGTCATGACCCCTTTGGGGGTCGAACGACCCTTTTACAGGGGTCGCCCGATTCATAACAGTAGCAAAAATGACAGTTATGAAGTAGCAATGAAAATAATTTTATGTTTGGGGGTCACCACAACATGAGGAACTGTATTAAAGGGTTGCGACATTAGGAAGGTTGAGAACCACAGTACTATGCTGTGTTGCTGGACCGATTGATAATAAAGGTGGACCTTCTAATGAGCTGTCTTTTACTAGACCTGCCCCAACGGGGTAGGTAGGCAGAGCGTGGATGATGCTTTGCAAGGAGCTCTAGGCTGACTGACTGCAAGGTCTGAGGTTCAACCCACTCACTACTCCATGGGAGAGGGATGAGACTGTGTGCTTCTATAAAGATTTAGTCTCAGAAACACCATGGGTCAGTTCTACTCTGTCTTATGGGGTTAAGGTGATAGGGAAACAGGGAGGTCAAATGAAATGTTTTGAAACAATGAGGGGGATCATTCTTAGTAACACCCCCCACCCCCAATTTTTTTTCATCTGTGACACCAAGCCTTGCAAGAGTGATAAAAAAAAAAGAGGTTGAAACTGTATTTCCTGGGTGGGCAAGTGGGTTCTTCTTGGGCCTGACCCCCAGAAGCTATAGTAGCACTGCACCCTAGGTCCCCTCCTAACCTCCCCACCTACACACACACACACCACCACTCCTATTCCACAAAGCCCCAGGCTTCTCACACCTTCTAACACCTCATTAACCCCTTGCCAGCTAATGGGCGAGCACCAGGGCGGGTAGGGGGCTTCAAAGCACTCCTTGGAGGGCACCACAAGCTGAGCCCACCATTCCTTCATTAAACCAGATTCTAATTCCTGCCAAAGCTTGGTATTAGGCCCCCAAGGATTCAGATCCACTGAAATTCTTCATTGCCCTTTCATCCCCAAGGCCTCTGCTTGCTCCCCAGGGCGTCTACCCCTGCTAACCATTGTGTATGTGTTCTTTTTCCACAAACCACCCGTGCTCAGGAGTAAGGACCATTAAGGAATTGCTCAATCAACATAAAACAGCCCAGGGAGCGTAAGGGGCCGGATCAAGGTCACTCAGCTCCGGATGGCTGAGCCACGGGCCGGGCTTCGTGCCCCAGCCCGGTGCCGGTGCCAACCGCCCGCACGCCCGAAACCCGGACTCCAACCGGAAGCAGCATGTGCTGGCTATAAACATTGCCCGCAACGCCTGACCCCCCCCAGCTCTCCGGCCCCGCCCCCGCCTGCCACGTGATATGTCCCCACCCACTCCGGCTCCCTGCCCGCCCCCGCCGCCGCCTCATTGGGCCACCAGTTTTGTTTACCTTATATGGCCAGGTCCTAACATCTCGTGGCCTACCATTGGTCGAAGACTGGCCTCACTCAGCTGACGTCACACGGGCCCGTAGAATGCAAATAAACCGAAGCATTCTGGGATTAGGAGTTCGCGGTTTCCCGGGAACTGACTGCGCGCGGTCCTAGCGTCCTCCCTAGTCAGCTATTTCATCTAAAAAACACGAGATTTTGGGTGGAAAAGTGGGGATCCTTTGGTGGCCGGGTGGTGCACCTCAAGACTGCTCTCGTCAGCCTGTTCTGTGGCCGTAAGTCCCCTTCTTATTGTGGGCCTACTGTGTGTGAGCAGTGAGCTCAAGCATAACAATTGTGAAGATGTGGCGGGATCAGGTGGTGTCTCCTTCTGTCGTACAGAAGGTCACTATGAGTCGGGACCGATTCTCTAGACCTAACAATATGTCAGGTGGAGGGCCACGAGCGGGCAATGAACTCTTGCACTGGAAGACTGGGGAGACCTTCATGAAGGGCTTCCTGGAGGAGTGACATTGCAGAGCCTCGCAGGGCGGACTCATTCATTCATTCACTCCCTCCCTGGACTTCTTCAAACTAGTGGTTTAAAACCCATTCAAAGGCTCTGCGGGAGAAAGTGCTGGCTATCTGCTCCCATTGATGACAGCCTGGGAAACTTTACTGGCAGTTCTACTCTGTCACATGGGGTGTCTGTGAGTCCACCGCGCCTAACATTGTGTCGGGCTCTGCCTGAGGAAGCCTGCGGCCTGGTAGAGCCGATTTTTGCCAATCATCCTAGGTCGCTTCCCTTTCCAAAGGAGGGTGCCAGCCGCAGCAGGGCTCAGGGTTCTATGGTCTTGTCAAAGGTTCCCTGCGTGTGTGGTGTGCAGTTAGCACCCACGACCTGAAGTCCTCCGCCCCCTGACCCTGCACCAGCGTGCGTCCAGGGTTCCTGAGCCCGGCGCACATCAGGTGCTCGACTTTGGGGCGCACCCGCGCTCCTCTTGGCCCGGTCGCCGGCGCCGGCTGGGAGGCGAGCAGCCACAGCCCGCCGGCTGAGCCCGCGTCGGCGGAAGCGCCGGTCGGACTACAAGTCCCAGCGTGCCTGGCGCTCCGCCCGCCGGCCGGGAGCGAGGCGAGGCTCGGTGAGTCAGAGCCGCACAGTAAATATTTGTATTAGCCGGAGCCCGCTCGCTAATGGTGGACGCGTGAGGCCGGGAGCGAGGGAGCGAGCAGCGGCGCGGCGCCTGGCCTGGGACCATGGACGAGCTCAAGCACCAGGTCATGATCAACCAGTTCGTGCTGACGGCGGGCTGCGCGGCCGACCAGGCGAAGCAGCTGCTGCAGGCGGCCCACTGGCAGTTCGAGGTGCGGGCCGGCGCGCGCCGGCCGGGCCCCGCGCGCGTC